GGAGCCAATAAGTGGATGAAGGATAATTTTATACCATTTTCAATATTTAAAGGGTATTTTAGGCGCTTTTCTGTATAAATAATTACCTAAATAACTTGTTTCCAACTCATTGGATATACTTGAAACTTTTATAGAAAAAAATTTACTGGAACTTTTTAACTTACCTTTTTCAACTCTATACTGTAAAATGTAAATATTTCTGTAGCTGTACAATGAACATTCATTCATCCTCAATTTCATCTTCCTTGTCTTCTCAATTCACTAATTCAGTAAATTCTCTTTGAGTTTCTGTTGATTTCTTCTTTGTTGTGTAAAAAAAGGAAGCAAAGGGTGTCTAAAACTCTACAAATCTGTTCTCTTTCATGGTGTGATCAGAGGTAAAATTAAGCTTCTGTAATCCGAATTAGAGTTTCTACTTTCAAATTTTGAGATGGGAAATGCTGGAAGCAGGGGTGTGAATGGACCGAGACGACGCAACAGCCGGAGGAGCCACCCACCACCGCCGCCGCCGCCACCTCAACCGGAGATACGTGCGAACGGGTATGTGTTTGCGGCAACACCGTATCTTTCTCGATTCCCACATGGGCCGTCGTATTATCAGTACCCGGGGTACTATTCGACGCCACCGCCGCCGCCGCGGCCACGGGCAATGGCAGCACCATATGTGTTGCATCAAAAAGCAGTGACTATACGTAATGATGTTAATCTGAAGAAGGAAACTCTGAAAATTGAGCCTGATGAGAAGAATCCGGGGAAGTACCTTGTTGCTTTTACTTTCGACGCCACCGTTTCTGGAAGGTACTTATTTTTGTGGGGTTGGGTAAGAATTTGTGCTTTTTAAAGGGTCGTTTGGATTTATCGGATAAAATTTATATTGTGTTTGGTTGACGATATAAAAAGACCTCATATTGTTTTCTTTCACTATGTGGATCAGGGTATGTTAATGTTATTTCATAAGTTGTCTTTAATGTCAACTTTGTTGAGTATTAGAATGAAATTGGATTCAGAACTGCAGAATGAAATTACTAGGTTCATATTCGTATAATATACTCTATGTTTCGTAAAAGTTTAATGATTCATACATGATTTTGTTGTATACTCTCTATGTAGGAATGTAGTGTTTTGTGTTGTATGTGTCATTTTAATCAGTATATGTATGTTAAAGTTTTGAACTTTTTTGACATATAAGTGTATGATTTGGTGAACACAATTCATTTGCTGATTTTCCCTTAAAATTGTATGACTTGCAAACTTTAGTTTTCTTGACATAGATATGGTTTGGTCATAGTTCATTTTCTGGGATTCTCTTACACATTGCGTCGTGTTGCTACTTAGTAGTTCTTGCAAGTTATCATTCTAACAAATTTATCTGTGCGTTGTTGATATTCCTGCATTTCATCATTCAAAATCGTTAATCAGCAGCCTTATATGCTCTTGAAATAATGAGGATGTTTTTTCGCTGCAAGTCATATAATGTCAAATCCCTTGACAACTCATTAATGAGTATTAGTCATTATTATGGATCTTCAAGAATCATTCACAACTTTTTTATCTGTAAAGTGTTGAATTGGTTTTTTCTTTAATCTGTTGCAGCTTGACTGTCATTTTCTTTGGAAAAGAAGGTGAAGATTGTTTGTTGACACCTATGAAAGAAAGCTTACTTCTACCTATAACTGTTGAATTTCAACAAGGTTTATCTCAGAAGTTTAGGCAACCCTCAGGAACTGGCATTGATCTTTCGATTTTTGATGAAGCAGAATCCTCCATATATGCTGATGCAGATGTATATCCATTAGCGGTGAAACTAGAGGCAATCCCAGGTAAGGAAAGTGTACCGGAGGATGAGAATGCAGTATCCGGGTCCACAAATTCCCAGCTTACTCTAGCAGTTTTTGAAAAGGATAAAGGTGAATACAATGTTAGGGTGGTGAAGCAAATACTTTGGGTCAATGGCATGAGATATGAATTACAAGAGATTTATGGGATTGGTGATTCAATTGATAATGAGTTTGACGGAAATGATCCTGGGAAAGAATGTGTGATATGCCTTGCTGAACCTCGGGACACAACTGTACTTCCATGTCGACACATGGTATGGTTTTAACCTTTCGTAACCCTTGCATCTAAGGTGCTGGTCTGAATACATGCACAACTATCTTGAATGCTTTGTTTATTCAGCTTCTGTTGCAACAGTTTTCGCTAATACAACTTGAGAGTAACTCTTCCCTGGCCTTAAACCCCACCTTATTTCCTTTCTTTGGTTAGTAGACTAGCCATGGTTCAAAATATCAACACAATATCGTGTATCTAGCAGTAAATATGATATGCATCAGTTTCATTGCGCTTGATAAACCAATGCATCAGCTTCTGTGTTGATTGAAGAAGCCATACATGACACAAGTGTTTTTTGTTTGTCTTATTTATTGGTGCAATACTATTATATGCCACAAATATTGAGTATTTTCCTTGATGCAGTGCATGTGCAGTGGTTGTGCAAAAGTCTTGAGGATCCAGACAAATAGGTGTCCTATATGTCGGCAGCCAGTTGAGCGACTTCTGGAGATCTAAGTCAGCGAAGGTGCTGAACAGTAAATATAGGAACAGTTGCGACTACACTCTTGTATATACATCTTTCTGTTTTCACTGTAATCCTCTCATTTAAGTATGTCAATGTTCCCATCTATGTCATATGGGAAAAGTCTGTGAAGTCTTTATACAGTGGTGCTTGTCTCTGTTCCAAAGATATCCAAGTTTAGTTTATACATCCCAACAGAGGCCTTATAACCTTTTCCCTCATGTTTGTGAAGAAGAGAAGTGGCACCAGATGGAACAACATTAACAGAGGAAGCATCATTTTTCGTACTGGACAACTAAGAAAGCAACATAGCTTAAAGAAAATATGTGTAAGCTAGCAAAATGCCTCCAAAGTTTGAGATAATACACTAAGCAGTGGTTTACTCATCATGACTGCGTACCAAAACAAAACTTGTCTTTTAAAACCATAACGTCCTCCGGATACTTACACATATCATAGCCCTATCATCCTCTTGTAGATCAATGTGCTAAAATCATAAGAGGAATTCAAGCAGCTTAGATCTCACTATCTGTGCAGTGCCTTTGCTCAGATTATGTCAGACCATGTTCAAGGACAACATAAGATCTGCAATGACAAGCAACAAACAAGACACATTGAATCTGTGAGAGTGTCCTGCAATAAATTCCTTTATATAAAACATCCGAAGGATATATTGAACAATCTGTTATAGCTCCAATTAGCTACATTTGATTTACTTTTGATGTTTACGATTACATGTCCCTCTAGAGCAACTTCACATACTAAATAAACGTCAACCATGAAGACTGCCCACGAGAGCAGAATATGCACTAGCATCAGGTGTAAGTCCTGCCTCTATCATCTCATCATACAATCTGAAGGCTTCATCTGACCTGCCCTCTTTCGATAAGCCAGAAATCATTGCTGTGTAAGTCACCACATTTGGAACTATACCTTCTCGAGGCATCTCGTTGAAAAGTTTCAGAGCTTCATCTACCTTCCCTGATATGCATTCTCCGTGTACAAGTGAGGTGTATGTATAGGGATCAGGTTTCAGGCCTTTACATTCCATAACATTCTTTAGCTTATACGCTTCCTTCATCATGCCCTTCTTGCAATAACCATCCATCAGGGTATTGTACGTTGCCGTATTAGGCTTCATTCCCTTTGTTTCCATCTCACCAAGTGTCCTTTTTGCTTCAACAAAATTTCCTTCCTTAGAATATATACTGATCAAAGTTGTATGAGCAACTTCATTTGGAGCTACACCTCGATCCACCATTGAGAACAACCACGTCTTTGCTTCCTCACACCGATCTAACTTACACAATCCAGTAGCAATTATGTTGTAAGCATATACATCAGATTCATACCCTTTCCCCTCCATAATTTTCTGCAGCCTCCATGCTTCATCGATATTACCTTGCTTACAGTAACCATCCATCATTGTATTAAATATAACTGGACCAATATCAACCCCCTTACTATGCATCTCATCAAGTAAAACTTCAGCAGCTTGCATCTGTCCAGCCTTACACAAGCAATTTATCAAAGCTCCATATGTGTGAGCATTCGGAACGAGACCCCTCTCCACCATTTCATCAAACACTGAAAATGCTTTTTTGACATTACCTAACTTACTACAACCACTAATCATAGAGGTGTATAAATGAACATCTGGCTCTATGCCTTTCCCTTCTATTTCCCTAAACAACCTATCAACCTCTTTAAGATTGCCAATATTACAATACCCGTTAATCAGAAGAGTATAACTCGTCACATCAAGATCCAACCCCTCTTTCTCCATAGCCATCAAAATCTCCTTCAGAGCCACAAAATCTGGCTTCTTCATGCAAGCATCTAATAATGTGTTGTAAGTGTACACATTTGGTTTCACCCCTTTACTAACCATTTCATCCATGAGTTTTCTTGCCTTGCTAACCTCTCCTACTTTACACAAACCGTCTATAACCATCGTCATAGAGTACACCGTAATTCTCACATCAAATTCAACCATCATCTCGAAAAACTCAACCAGTGAGTCATACTGTTTTCGTCTTTTCATAGCAAGTAAGTAAACCATACAAGATCTATCATCTATCTCGAACCCACCATTCTTCATATACTCAAAAACCTCAAGAGCATCCTTAAACCTCATACTATCAACATATACCCTAAACAACATGTCAAACATCTTCCCCATAACTTTATGTTCTACATGATTCTCACCCAAAAATGAAGCTACTTCTGAAATTGGTTTCCTTAAACTATCATCAGAAGCAACTGTATGCAATATACTTTTGGCTTCAGCAAACTTCCTGGCTTTAAACAAGCGCAAACACAAGGCTATATGTGATTCAAGATTGGGTCTTTCGAAAGATTGATTTTTTTGGAGAAATTTGAAGAAACTTAAACAAGATTGTGTAGGGACAGATGGGTTTGAAAAAACCAGATGGGTTACTTGGGGATTGAGGTAGGAAGTTAGAGATGGGGGTATTTCCTTTGTAGAACTCAAATTTATCAGAGTATTGGAGATCAATTTAGCAATTTCTTCATTTGGTTTTTTGGGAAATAATTGTTTTGCAGTTCGGTAAAACTTTTCAGTCGACATTTGAGAATAAAGCTGAGATATTTACTATGGAAGTTTTATGAGTTTAAAGAGATTACCGGAAGGATGACATGTTTTTCCCGGTGACGGAATCCAGTTCCCGGCGACGTTTTGTTTCTTCAGTAACTGGGGAAGACGGCGTCAGCTGAATTTTAGCCTTTCTATAGTTTTGAAAGAGTTTAAAATTTGGCCCAAATTCTTCTTGAAACATCCATTAAGTCCCTTTTTTAAAGTTGTGTTTTTATTTTTGGTATCCCACTCGATGTCACATTGAATTATTCTCAAAATCCACGAAAAGTTTCGCATTGAGGATAAAATCGCTTTATAAATTTTACGAAAAGTTCCACATTTAGAGTAAACGCTTCATAAGTTTCAACAGAAAGTTCCACATTTAGGGTAAAATGCTTCACAAGTTTCATGAGAAGTTTGAGGATAAAGTGTTTTCTAAGTTTGAGGACAACTAGAACCTTCAACTCTGATCAAGGATGAAGGACTGTGTAATTAAAGATAACTCCTCTTCATCGATTCATTGATTCAAAAAATTCTGTTTAGTACAAGGCTTTCTCATGGTGAAAAAAAAAAACATTATCAAGTGTGGTTTTGTGTGTTTTTTAATTCTTATCATCTGTTTTTCTTTTTATTTGTTGATTTTAAAGTGAGAAAAAAAAACGAATGTGATTATTTCACATCACATAATATTCCTAAACAAAAGCATAAGAATTTCCAAAATATACAACAATGTTTAATACACTTCCCTTCGTTTTACAACTGATTCTGAAGTTTGTTGACAAAGGAACTGAACATATCATTAGAATGTGACATAAATGTAGTATTCATGTCATGCTCTACTTCCTCTTAAATTCTTTCAACATTGTCTTCATAGCTCAGCATCTTCATCAACACTTCTCTTTCAACAAGCTCTTCAGGGTTTACAACTCGCCGTTCTACTCAATTGTAATTGGATCTTCTCTATATACTCTTATCCATGTAGGATATATACATGTATCACCAAGGTTGGAAAAATGCAAAGGTATATCATTGAGTACTGCGATTAAAAGAATGAGAAGATTATTACTTACGACTTTAAGGATCATCTGTATGTCTCAAACCTTCTAAATTTGAAGTTGAATGCAAAGACTTGAAATTCCTGTAGGATCAGAACTTCATTATCTTCATACTTTTCAGCAGGCAATTACTTGCTTTGACGTCAAATCTCCAAACCTACTGCTAGATGAAAATCTCAAGGCTAATGTTTTTGATTTTGGGACTATCAAGAATTGGTCCAGAAATTGATCAAGCAGCGGAAGGAAGTTTTTTATTACTTGATCCAGAGTATTTTACAAGGCAACAACTAACTGGGAAATCTGTGGCAAGCCTGTGGGTATAGTTGTCAATCTTGTATTGTAGGCAAGATAAAACTAGAGTCTTTGCTAAATTTTGTAAAGACTTCCAAAAAAATGCTTGTTCTGGTGTAAATTGATCCACCCTGCGAGAAGTTATATGTATTGTAACTCTAAGAAAATGATAAAACAACCAAGGTAGTCACTTTGTTTTCCCATCATGACTTCGTAATGAACAACATTTATCTTTAAAACCCACCCACAGTTATTTAATCTCATGGTTGATATTTCATGTTGATTCAAATATTTCTTTTTTGATAAAGGTAACAGTATGTTGATTCAAATAATAGCAAGTTGTTATATTCTAATGTCATCTGAATACTCACAGATGTCATCGAGCTCCAGTCTTCTTAGATCATAGTCTAAATGAAGGAAATCAAGCAGCTAAAATCTGAGCTGCACTTTTGCTCTTCTTTGGCTGATCAAATCGATATCAACCTTGAGTTTATAGCAGACAATGTCCGTGGACAACACTAAGATCTGCAGTAACAACCTAGGCACACCGAATTTCTGCAGGATGTCCTGCACCATATAATTCAGTTTGCTCAAGTAAAACACCATGAAGAAGTGCAGAACAATCTGTTATGCTTCCAATTAGCTAAGTCTGACTTACATGAAGTTAAAGACTTACAAGATAGTATATCCACAAGTGCAGGGTATGTAACACCGAGTGTTAGGCCTGCCTCTATCATCTGATTGTATACTCTTTTGATAGGCCAGAAATCATCATTGCGTAAGTCACCAAGTCCGATCTGGAACTAAATCCTTTGTAAGAATCTCGATCGAAAGCTTCAAAGCATCGACTTTTTCTGATATGCACATGTATATCTTAGAATACAATCTCTGGACATAATAGAAGCATTCTACAACAATAAAATATACAAAAGCACAAGTACAATAGCTAATAGTTCAACTCTGTGAATTCCAGTTTAATTTAAAAACAATCTGCTATATACACTTCTGACTGGCTAAATCTAATCCAAATAAAGTTCACTATGTAAAAGTTTATAGAGAAGAATTTCTCACTCTAAGTGCAGAGTATGCAGCAGCATCGGGTATTACGCCTGCCTCTATCATCTGGTTGTATAATCGGAGGGCTTCACCTGATCTGCCTTCTTTTGATAAGCCAGAAATCACTGCTGTGTAAGTCACAACATTCGGAACTAAACCCTTTGTAGGCATCTCGTTGAAAAGCTTCAGAGCATCATCTACCTTTCCTGATTTGCATTCCCTATGTACAAGTGAGGTGTATTTAGCAATATTTCCCACCTTGCAACAACCATCTATCAGGGCAGTGTACGTTACCGTGTTAGGCTTCACTCCCTTAGTTTCCATCTCAATAAGTACCTTTATTGCTTTAGCAATATTTCCTACCTTGCAACAACCATCTATCAGGGCAGTGTACGTTACCGTAGTAGGCTTAACTCCCTTAGTTTCCATCTCAACAAGTACCTTTTCAGCTTTAGCAGGATTTCGCACCTTACAATAACCATCTATCAGGGCAGTGTACGTTACTGTGTTAGGCTTAACTCCCTTAGTTCCAATCTCACTAAATACCGTTTTTGCTTCAATGAAATTTCCCTGCTTGCAGTAACCATCTATCAGGGCACAGACACTGTTTGTTGTTGTGTTAGGCTTAACTCCAGCAGTTTCCATCACCCTAAGTATCCTTTTCGCGTCAACAATTTTTCCTAGCTTGCAATAACCATCTACCAGTGTAGTGTATGTTGCCGTGTTAGGCTTAATTCCCTTAGTTTCCATCTCAATAAGTGCCCTTTTTGCTTCCACAAAATTTCCCTGCTTGCAATAAATATCGATCAAAGTTGTATAACTAATTGTATCTGGAGCTACACCTCGATCCACCATCGAGAGCAACAAACTTTTTGCTTCATCATACAATTCTAGCTTACGCAGGCCCGTAGCAATTATATTGTAAGCATTTGCATCAGGCTGATGTCCTTCACCCTCCATAATTGTCTGTAGCCTCAGTGCTTCATCCACATTACCCTGCTTACAGTAACCATCCATCATCGTATTAAATATGACCCGGTCTACACTAATTCCCTTTCCTTGCATCTCATTTAGTAAAACTTCAGCTCCTTGCATTAGTCCAGCCTTGCAGAAGCCATTTATCAAAGCTCCATATGTGTGACCATCAGGAATGAGGCCTCTCTCCACCATTTCAACGAACGTTGAAAATGCCTTCATAACATTACCTAACTTACTGTAACCACTAATCATGGAGGTGAATAAATGAACATTTGGCTCTATACCCTTCTCTTCTATTTCCTTAAATAACCTCTCAACCTCTACAAGATCGCCAAAAGTTGAATATCCTTTAATCAGAAGTGTATAACTAGTCAGATTGAGATCAAAACCATCCTTCTCCATTTTCCTCAAAATTTCCTTTACAGCCACAAAATCTTGCATCTTCATATATGCTTGTAACAATATGTTATAAGTATAATCACTTTGTTTCACCCCAGTACTAGCCATTTCATCCACGAGCTTTCTAGCCTCACAAACCTCCCCCATTTTACACAATCCATCAACTACCACCGTCATCGAATAAACTGTAATTTTCACATTAAACTTAACCATCTTATGGAAAAACTCGAACAACGAGTCATACTGCCTTTGCCTTTTCATAGCAAGCAAGTAAACCATACAAGCTCTATCATCAATTCTAAAGCGCCATTTTTTCATATAATCAAAAACTTGTAAAGCTTCACTAAACCTCATGTTATTAACATAAACACTAAATAACATATTAAACATCTTCCCTATAACTTTACACTTTACATAATTCTCACTCAACAAAGAAGCTATTTTTGAAACTGGTTTCCTCAGACCATCAGTAACAACAACAGCATTCAATATATTCTCGGCTTCAGCAAACTCCTTGGACTTTAATAAGTCTACAACTACGGCTAAATGGGTTTCAAGATTGGGATTTTTCTTGAAATTGAAGAAATTTGAGCAAGTAGAATGGGAAGGGGGGAAGAGGGAGATTAGTTTGGCAATTTCTTTAATGGGTCTATTGGGGAAACGTTGTTTTATCGGTTGGTAGAACTTTTGAGTCGACATGTGAAGAACAACTCAATACCTATAAACTTGAATAGTGCAATTTGAAATTTTCATTTCTGAACTTCAGAAATATTGGTTACCTCTATTAACGCAACTGGACATACCCTGTTTTCCTTCGAGCTGGAGATACCCTTTTTCCCGGCGAGCTGGAGATACCCTTTTTCCCGGCGAGCTTCGGCGAGTTCCCGGCGAGCTGAGCAAATTAAATTTGAAGCTTTTAAGAGAGCTTGGAGAAAACGGCTGTGAAGAATTTTGATTGAAATGCAAAAGAGGTCTCATAAAAGGTATACAAATTGACCCTCTATACTTTTAAAAAGTTACATTTAGTCCTCATCTAATTTAGTCCAATTATTCCTCTCCATCAACTCAATTTCAATTGTCAAATTTAGCACCTCGTGGAACTTAAATTTGTCATTATTTTATTTAGACATATAAAATATAACTTATTCTAATTAAAGTTTTTAACACATGATAAATGGATATAGTAATAAGTAATTTTTGTTCAGTTGATTTTTCATATGATTATTTGATTAATAGTTATTATAGATATATGAAATTCTTCAAAAAAAGAAGATAAAATTTTGAAATAATAACTATTAGATAAACGTGAGTAAAATTTTGAAATAATAACTATTAGATAAACGATCACGTGGAATAAATCCTTCAGTTTATGTATGTGAGTCTCACATAAATAAATTAATTCCATAAAATTTTTATTATACACATAAGCATCAACTGGAACTTATACCCAAGTGTTATAGCTTATTGTAATTAAAAGTGTCTAGTAAAAACACTTTAATCTTTAACATGAAGACATTTCACTGAATTTTACATGAAAATTTTTGTAGTATCTTGAAAATATTCTCTCTTTCTCACATTGAAATCTTTGGAATATGCATATTTGTTCACAATATAAGATTAACATTTAGTTATACAAATAGAACGGCCCTTTTGCCCTTGCTGGAGATGTTGAAAGGAGTCGTTTTCGACTGCTCATAGCCAGTTTTACCAGGTGGTCTGCTACTTCGTTAGCCTCGTGGTGAGTTGCTTTAACATTAGCTTGTTTCGTTCTTTGTTGTATTTCCTCAATAATGCAATTGAGCTTGTAGTTGGATTGCTGGTTGTTCACAATCATCGGAAATAGGATCAAAGAGTCTCTCTATTTGGTGAAGTTCTTTCAGATTTTTCAGTAGGCGAAGGCTTTGTCCATAACTGGCAGCCTTAGCTTCTGCTTATGTGCTGCTGCAGCAACAACTCGAAGGTGAGGAGAAAGCCAAGATGAGGTTGCCTCTATTATCCCTCAAAACTTCCATCAGTATTCAATTTAAGGACGCCATCTTCGAGGAACTTCCAGCATACAATAGAAAGGTTTGAGGCAGGTTTCAGCTTCACAATTTTTTCACAAAGCGTGATCCAAAGTAATGTTGAACCAACTTTTGAATAAGCTTTAGCAATCGTACTCTGAATGTGTTGGATCATTATATATCTGTAGAAATTACTTGAGCCTCTATAATTACTGCACTCGGACCTTTGTTTCTAAATCTCCAAACAGATAAGGCCTGGTCTAGTTTGACGAACTAGCTTGTCGATGGAATTATTTGATTTTTTGATTCCACCAGTTGTAAGTTCTGATTGCCAGAGGCCCTCCAAATTGCTTCCACACATATTGAGCTGCGAAGAAAAACATGTTGCATTTGATTTTCATTTTAGGAAGAGAGCAGCAGTTGCATAGAGTATCCTTCAGAATACCAAATCTGCTAATTACTTCGTCAAAGGAATGTTCTCCCTGCCAGAATTTCCAAACGAAAAATGAAATCTTAAAAGGAATGTTGGAGTTCCATACCTGATCAATATTGTGGTCTGTTGGAATATTTCCCATCTTTTGTGAGGTCCCAAAAGACCTGGTCTTGAGTGTCATACTTGCCAATTCCAAATGGTCTTAATATGCTGAATTGTGCTATCTCATAGGATGTTCTGCATCTTTGCATTGTCCCAAGTTCCATTGGTAATGAAATGTCTTACTAGAGTCTCCGTATTCTTCTATGTTTCATGGTAATCATTGGCTAGAGGACCTTTGCTACTCCAGTTGTCCGCCAAAAACTATAATTTCCAGAAGGTAGTAATCAGAAAAGAAAATTGTGGAGATAGTATAAACCAAAGTATTAGTGTTGTCAAAGACTCAGAAGCAAGGTGCTAAACAGTTCGAGTGATTCACCCTCACTTAGTTGGCGCTTCAGTGCAGCCACAAAGGTACGAAAGCATACACTTTATCACCAATGGGATTTATCCTAAAGAGATGACACTAAACAATGACTTACACGTAAATTCCTAAATTCTTTTATCCTTTCTATAATTTTCATTTGTACTTATATTTATGATTTGTAAATTACATTCCTTTCATTCTACTTTATCCTTCATTTCCACACTTCCCACTTAAGTCCATGTTTTAACTGTCCTTTGCGTTTAAAGGCTTAAGTCCCACCAAAGCTTAAGTTTTTTCCCTTCGATAACACTCTCGAATATATCCAAAATACTAACCATGCAGAATTTTCTCTTCTATATCCAGCAAGCAATGGCTCTTAACCTTCATATTTCAACATGCAGCTGATATCAAGTTACAACTTACAAGTATGGGGTCTACTACACCTATACACTGCACATGAAGACTTCTCTTTTCAACAAGCACAAGATATGGTCCTTAATTTTAATCCTTTTGACATGCACATGTACATATTAGAATACTAACTCTAGGCATAATAGAAGCATTCTACAAAATAAAATATACAAAAGCACATGTACAATAGCTAATGGTTCAACTCAGTGAATTCCAGTTTAATTAAAAAACAATCTGCTATATATACTTCTGACTGGCTAAACCTAATCCAAATAAAGTTCACGATGTACAAGTTTATAGAGAAGAATTTCTCACACTAAGTGCAGAGTATGCAGCAGCATCGGGTACTACGCCTGCCTCTATCATCTGATTGTATAATCGGATGGCTTCACCTGATCTGCCTTCTTTTGATAAGCCAGAAATCAATGCTGTGTAAGTCACAACATTCGGAACTAAACCCTTTGTAGGCATCTCATTCAAAAGCTTCAGAGCATCATCTACCTTTCCTAATTTGCATTCCCCATGTACAAGTGAGGTGTATGTATAGACGTTAGCTATCAAGTCCTTAGATTCCATGAGATTTCTAAGCTTATAAGCTTCATTCATCATACCTTTCTGGCAATAACCATCTATCAGTGCAGTGTATGTATTGGTGTTAGGCTTAACTCCGTTATTCTCCATCTCAATAAGTGTCTTTTTAGCTCTAACAAAATCTCCTTGCTTAGAATAACCATCTATCAACACAGTATATGTTGTCGTGTTAGGCTTAACTCCTTTAGTTTCTATCTCAATAAGTGCCCTTTTTGCGTCAATAAAATATCCATGCTTGAAGTAACCATCTACCAGGGCATTGTATGTTCCCGTGCTAGGCTTAATTCCCTTAGTTTCCATCTCTCTAAGTGTCCTTTTCGCTTGAACAAAATCTCCCTGCTTGCAGTAAATATCAATCAAAGACGTATAAGCCAATACATTTGGAGCTACACCTCGATCCACCATCGACAGCAACAACCTCTTCGCCACGTCATGCAAATCTAGCTTACGCAGGCCAGTAGCAATAATATTGTAAGCATTTGCATCAGGCTCATGTCCTTCATCCTCCATAATTCTCTGTAACCTCAACGCTTCATCCACATTACCCTGCTTACAATAACCATCCATCATCGTATTAAATATAGCTCGATTAATCCAAATTCCCTTGCTTTGCATCTCATTAACCAGAACTTCAGCTTCTTGCATTAGTCCAGCTTTGCACAACCCATTTATCAAAGCCCCATACGTATGACCATCAGGAACAAGTCCTCTCTTAGTCATTTCGTCGAACAGTTGATATGCCTTCCTAACATTACCTAATTTACAATAACCACTAATCATAGATGTGTATAAATATACATCTGGCTTTACACCCTTCTCTTCAATTTCCATAAATAATCTCTTCATTTCTCCAAATTCTCCAAAATTTGAATAACGTTTAATCAGAAGTGTATAACTTTTCGGGTCGAAATCCCATCCTTCCTTCTCCATTGTCCTCAAAATCACCTTCACAATCAAAAAATCTGGTTTCTTTATACATGTATTCAATAGTTTTTTATAACTGCAACTATTTGGTTTCACAAATTTATCATCCATGAATTTTCTTGCCTTATGAAACTCCCCCATTTTACACAACTCATCAATTACCACTGTCATCGAATAAACTGTAAATTTCACTTCAAACTTAACCATCTGCCGGAAAAAACTCGAACAAGGAAGCATATCGTTTTTTGCCTTTTCATAGCAAATACACCATACGAGCTCCATCATTAATCATTTATTTCAATAGTTACCGGCGGAAAACTAATGTTAGTAGTAGAGGAGCAGTTTCCCGGCGAAAAGATGTAACAGACATGTTTTCCGGCGATAGTGACTGATTTCCGACGAGGCAAAAGGTGTAAATTGAAGTTCTTCAGGACTCAAGGGAAATATGGTGAAATGAATTTTAGCCCTTGTATGGTTTTGAAAGTGTCAAAATTGGCCCCATATACTTTCAAAAGGTCCAATTAAGTCCTCCTATTTAACAAGAAGTCCTTTTTAACTATTTAACTCTCACTTTAGTCAATCATTTGTGTAATTATCCCATTTTATCCATTTAATTTTAATCTTAGTTAAAAACAATTTCAAATAGTTAGTCCTCTAATTCAGTTTCAATTTATTTGTCCTGTTATCTTTTTCAATTTATAAAAAAAAAAATCATCTCTTATTGCATTAGATGATTCATTCGAGGACAACAAGAAAAAGAGTGTAGAGAATTAAATGGAATATATACTCATACAACAAATGAAGTAATCTTGATTCTTTGAAGTTTGAATCATTATATTGTTAGCATAAATTTTGGAACAATCATTAATTACATAAAACTATTACAATAACAATAATAACATATCCAATGTATGCAAATATTATCTCTATCTTATAAAGATCGAGAGAATATTTCTAAAAGATCTTTCACTATAAAACTAGAGAAACAATCATATATATATATAGGTATACACTTTAAGAAACAGAATGAATTAAGCGAAGAATTGAAAATCTATTTAATTTTTTGTTGTTCTCCATGAACTTGAAGTTGTTTGTGCAAATATCATTTAGTGATTGATGATGATGATGATCGGGAGGTTCTGCAAGAACTTGAACTTTGATAATAGATCCATCTTTGATATTATAAACAGATAAAAATTGATCACTTTTCATTTCTTTAGACTTGTGATAAAGTCTCATGTATTCATCTCCCCATACCTTTTTTATTATTTTCATCAATTCTCTTACACTACTTTTTTCTCTAACTTGAGCATAGAATTCTGATGTTGGAGACTCAAATTTGATCTTCATAATTCTTTGTTCTCTAGCCATTGTTTGTATAAAAGGAGGGGAAAGAAGAAATTGAAGATTTAAATAATATAAAGTTGTCTTGGAGGATATGTCAATGTTATTGAGTATATATATATATATATAAGATTTTGGGATGGAATATTGGTACTTTGCTTAATGGGATAAACATAATAATCTCTCTTTCACATTTTTAATTTGAGGTGTTAATTAATTATCACATTGTTTTATCTTATATAAAAGATAAGATAAGAGTAATATCTTATGAAATATTTTAACTCAGAAGATATTTTTGATTATTTCATTTCACGTATCAAATAATTTATTAAAGGCTTAATTTCGTAACGTGATTTAAACTTATCTCAAATACCAAATACCACATGATAGCTACGAGAAAATAATACTTTAAAGCTTTGTAAACAAAAAAAAACAAATATGTATATTGACAAAAAATGTTTATCTTCGTACTTTATTCCTTTCTTTCCACTTAAGGCAACGACTTTTTTTAAGGGATTAGAGGATTGGTAGCAAACTTAATTGGATTGGATTGGAGAAAACAATGCATTATATACTTTTAATTCAATAATAATGCAGACTCTTTTGATTATGACATTTAAAAAAAAAACATATATACATAAGTTAGACGTGTTTTAATTTTTATTCAGATTTTCCCTAAAGTATCAGTTATTTCAATTACTAATTCCTTGAATATTTATCCTCGTAACTATAAATGATTTTAATTCATAACAAAAATGATTTCATATCGAAGTTTCGCATAAACCTAAATTATCTTAATTGGTAGCCAGGGATAAGTTACCTTGTAGGAAGGGATTTATTCGAACCTTCTTCAACAGAAAGTAATATTATTTATATTTGATTAAAATAATTTTATATGTATAAATATAGTAAATGTCGATTCCTTTCAACTACCTCATATATCTATTTCTATAAATTTTAAACCCCTTAGGAAATTCTGGCTCCGCGTCTTACGGGTAATTTACAAGTTGTTGGCTGCTGGTTTGGTTACATAAAATAGGAAGACTAGTAGGATAAATTTTAAGATATTTGTTTATACAAACTTAAATTTGTTAGGTGTGAGTGATGATTATTTTGTTGGACAAATTTTTCTTCAAATGCCGCAACTCGCACACAACTCTAAAAGTTTGTTAGGATAGATATACACCTTTTTGAACTAATTTGAGTTTTTTTTAAAAAAATATATTTTAATTCAAAACTTTTTTATGGTTATACTTTACAAGCGGGCGGCATATCGATGATCTGAATCAGGGTAAGGTTATATGTTTATTTTCATTTCATCAATTATATATTATAGTTTTTTAAAACTAATGTAAGTCGATTAAGTATATAATAACAATTGACTGCAAGTCACAGAAAAATTTCAATTCATATATGCCCTTCTTAAGTTTCGATAAGTGAGCTATGATCCCCTAAGATATTATGTAAATTGTGTTCTTCTATTCATAAATATATATTTTCTATCGGAAACTCTTTACTGACGAGTCAAATTTCAATAAGGTGTTTATCGAATATCTTCCATACGTGAATATTTTGGTAATTATGTCTTTCTAGGCTTCTACTTCCTTATAGTATTTTAATTTTTTAAAAAAAAAACTTCAGATCCTCCCAGAAAAAGAAAAAAAAATTATAATAAAATAACTAATCAAGAAACTCACAAAATTAGTGGTTGGATGAATTTTTATAAAAGAAAGAAATAGGGGTCTTAGATTGACTAAAAAGGAATTTTCCTTTTCTTTTTTCTTCCCTACTAGGTTTCTTTTCATTTTTCAATCAAATTCATATCGCGTAAGACTTATTCAGAAAGAAATAATTTCTAACAAAATTTTTATTTATATTCAAGAAAATCGAGACTTCTAATTATGAATTCATGAATGGGTAGATAAATCGTATCTATCTTATTACAATTCACAGCCCTAAATAATAAAAAGATTTTTTTATTGAACTACCATTGCTCTCCTCTTGACTATTGGTTCATAAACTAATTCTTAAGTTGGGAGCGAGGCGATTCAAAGATCTAAAGTCAGTACATTCAGAATCAAAATTCAATCGCAAAACATAACGATAAAAAAATAAATTAATCCATCACAAAAAATTATAAGCATAAAACAAAATCATATCACAACATGAAAATTTCCCATTTGATCAATCCAACAACATCAAATTACATTTTTTCCCCCATCAACTTAATACCATAATCCTCTAGTCCTACACCACCACAACCTCTAAGGAAAAAAAAAGTTAATCTTAGATGAACTTACAAAATTTAATCATCTTTTATGGTTCTTCAGCAAAAACAGTGACTTTGATAATTGAGCCATTTTTAACACCATATGTAGACAAAGTTTGATCACCCTTCATTTCAACAGAATTATGGCTAAGTAACATATAGTCACTTCCCCATACCTTTTTCACAATTTTGATCAAATCTTTCACTTTATCACTTGCCTTCACTTCAACATAAAATTCAGAAGTTGGTGACTCAACTTTCACTTTGATTTTTTGTTCTGCTCTAGCCATCTAGGGTAAAAAAAAATGTTGATAAAATAATGAAAAAGGTACAAGTTTTTATAGAGAAAATTTTAGTTTTACTCAAAAGCCAGCTGTATCCTAGGCATAATATATATATATATATATAGACAAAAAGTTGTCAAAGATAAAGACAAAATTAAAACATTGGCTTAAATGTTTTTTGATTTGGTTGGTTGGTATTTTGAATAATTTTATCTCTTTAGATAAAAAAGAAATAAATACAGTCAAATCTCTTTTTAATGAAATGCTATTTATTTGGAAAAAAAATTTGGACTACTATAATAAAATGATCTTATAAAATAAATGGCATATACCATATTATAAAAAAATGAATTCCACAAAAAAAAGGTGGTGGTTTTTATTAATGGAGAAATCTGATTATATAAATTTGAATTATATATGATAATTTTTATTTTTTTTTGTAAAAAAATTATAACTTGAAATTCATATTAAATATGTTATTTGTTTGATTTTCTTTTGTTCCTATCACATAACATAGAAAATTAGCTTCACTTTTTTTTTTTGCCATTATAATGTAATGTGTTAGCTTCAATTATTATTTTTTGCCCCTATAATGTAATGTTTTTATTGGTTTTGATCTTGTATGGTATTTCATATTCTTTTAAAATATTGTTATAGAGATTTTTTTTTTTACAAACGTTAAAGAAAATATGTAATTGTTGTAAAAGGACTGATTGTATTTAAAAAATTATATGTTTTGTATAACAAAAGTATTTTTTTTTTTTGAAGAAAAAAATGGTTTTCCATGATGTGATATTCATTTTATGTGTTTGATTACCATAAAATCCATCAATACAATTATTGACTTTTTTTAGTATTAAAATTATTTAAAAATAACAATTGATGTTAAAATAAACGGTATATCTATCTAAATGACTAGAATTTCATACAGATACGTTAAAAAGGTTATTTAAATAATATTATTTTTGTTTACCATATAGTATATAAATATGGATTTTAAAGTCTTAAATCTTAAAACTTTTAATGTAGTTCAAAAAAGGGAAGATTTAAAAAGCAAAATTTTGGTCAACTGTGTAAAGAATAGTTATATTTATAATAATTTCAAAATCCTCAATATTAGGATAATAACTAAATAAATAGTTATTTGAGAAAAATAATAAATAATAACTTTGTCTATGATTAAAAATTTAATAGAGGAAAAATATACAATTAACAGTATATATATTAAAGATTAACAATTATTTATCTATATTATATTTAAAGTATGTACGTGAATTTTTATTTTAGGTTTTAACCTTGATTCTTTTAGAAGGATTTTGGGAGAAAACTTTGGAAAATACACCTGATTTTTTTTAGTGTTTCATCTGGAGATTAGGAATTAGTGATTATCATCAAACATTTAGTAATCACAATTATGGTATAAGTAATGACGAAATTACTAATTCCAAAACTAAAAATTCAATCGAACTATAAATATAATTATTCTGAAATTATTATTTTGTAATCCCACCTATCAAATCAACCCTTAGAATGCCTTTGCTTTTCGAAATTACTTGTTTGGATCGATTTAAATGAGTGAGCAAATTCACAATTCAGTATTATTTTTCGTATAAAATAGCTTATCCTTTTATCACCTAAACGACAAAGTCGTTAAGGTTCGATAAGAATATGTCATTTTGGACTTCTTGTAAATAACAAAATGTTCTAATCCAAGAAAAAAACAATATAATG